AACAGAAATGGATTACTAAGTTGTTGGGTCTTGACTATGAAATTATGTACAAGAAAGGGGCTGAGAATAAAGTGGCTGATGCACTCTCAAGGAGAGACAATTCCAATGAGGAATGTCAAGCTATCACTACAGTGAAACCCTTGTGGGTGAAGGAAGTTCTAAACAGCTATGAGCATGATCCTTTCTGCCAAAAGATACTCACATCACACTCTCAGTTTGACAGTCTCTACCCTGGGTTCACAGTACAAGAAGGGCTTATAAGGTTCAAGGGCAGAGTGGTTGTGGGAGCAGATGCTTCCCTCAGAGAGGACATTTTGAAAACCATGCATAGTTCCTCATATGGGGGACACTCCGGAATTAATGGTACCTACATGAGAGTTAAAAGGGTATTTTTCTGGCCATTGTTGAAACAAGATGTCAATGCATGGGTAAAATCTTGTGAAACTTGCAAAAAGAGTAAACCTGAAGTTGGTGCCTACCTTGGGCTATTACAGCCTCTACCTATTCCAGAGAATGCATGGACTCACATATCCATGGATTTCATTGAAGGTTTACCCAAGTCACATGGCAAAAATGTGATCCTGGTGGTGGTGGACAGGTTTTCCAAATATTCACATTTTATTCCCCTAGCACATCCTTTCACTTCTCAAGATATAGCTAAAGTTTTCTTGGATTGTGTCTACAAACTACATGGACTACCTGTTAGCATTGTCACTGACAGAGATAAGATCTTTACCAGTCACTTCTGGAAGGATCTTTTCAAACTACTGGGGGTTAACATAAATATGACTTCATCTTACCACCCACAGTCTGGTGGACAGACAGAGAGGGTAAATCAATGTTTGGAGACTTACCTCCGTTGCATGGCTCATGAAAATCCTAAGCAGTGGGTCAAATGGCTGAGCTTGGCAGAATTTTGGTACAACACCAATTTTCATACCAGTTTGAAACTCACTCCATTTCAGGTTCTTTATGGCTACCCTCCTCCTAACTTTACTATCGAACCCTATCTAGACACACAAATGCAGATGCACATGACATGATTCAACAAAGGCAGCTAATTTCACAGCAACTCAAAGAAAATTTATCCAAAGCACAACATAGAATGAAAGTCTTTGTGGATCAGCATAGACAAGAGCGCAATTTTGAAATTGGGGATGAGGTTTTTCTCAAATTACAGCCTTTTAAGCAAAACTCAGTTTCATTGCGAAAAAAATTGAAGTTATCATCTCGGTACTTTGGACCGTTCAAAGTTCTGGAAAGAATTGGGTCTGTGGCTTACAAATTAGACTTACCACCAGACTCAAAAATCCATCCAGTTTTTCACGTTTCTTTGCTCAAGAAGAGGATAGATCTGAAAAGCTTACCTTCTCTTGATTTGCCGGCAACAGACTCTGATGGACACTTCAAGATCTCACCTTTACGCATTGTGGACCGTCGCAGCATCCG